GAGAAGTCATTTTAGCATTGACGAAACAGGTAAGGCTTCTGTATTGATGTATCATAGTATCTACTGCTCCATAACTTCACGTTGTTGATCATGTCATTTTTTCCTTTTTAATTGAAGTTGTAGTCACACTGTTTTGGCGTATCCTGCTATATTTGAGATCCATTATGCTAACAATCTAAATAATCAAGTCATTTTGATATTTGCCTTTAATTTTTTGCCTTTTTTCCCAAAACAACAATTTGGATATGCAACTATATATGGGAACTGTCTGAATTCAACTTAAAGAGAAATCAAACTCTAGAGGTTTCATTTGTACCACCTGTAAGGCCATGGGAAACCATATTCAGTGGATCATCGCATAACCTTCCTCCTTTCACAAAATGTGTTCAATGTTTCTAGAGTCATTGCTAGAAAAGAGAACTGCCATTGTAGAGTGACTATCCAATCCAATTACCAATCTGTTTTATTTAATTCAATGCTAACTGTGGATAGTTGTTCTGTGTTTTGGGTAGAAATAGATAGTTCTATGCTTTGGGTTAAAGCACAAGATTGGAAGGGTTTTTTTTTTTTTTTTGCTCAATTTGGCATCTTTTCTTTGGGCTCAAAAATTCCTTTCATGTTTAGATTTGGGTTGATGTTAATTATTCATCTAAAATATTGAACTAAGTTATTTGGTCACGAATTTGAAGTTGTCTAATCTTCTTCAGCAAGGACCAACTTCATTCTTAGGTTTGTGTTGTTAGTTCTATATGTGTATGTAATATCATTTAAATTAACTCTTGGGTTAAGATTGAGGATGTTGTGCTGGTTTTGGCCTCTTTCATGTTCCAGTTCTTATTTTTAGTTTTTAATTTTGTTCTTTTTTAATTGGCATTAGTGGATTTTCTTCCTGCTTTACATGGCAGAATTGCCATGTACGTTTATTAGGCACACCTTTCATCAGCATACTGAACACCAATACTGATCAGCATATCTTTTGACAATTAAAGGCATGTTTTATTAGGCACACTTTTTGATTAAATATTGGTGAATTGTTTGTTCAACATAACATAAGTTTCTTCAATCACGAACATTTCTTTTAATAGCATAGGTTTGGTGCTACTGTGAATTCCAATTGGGTATATAATTTGAAGTATATGAATTTTATGGGTTTCCTGTTTAAATTTATGGGTTTTGAATTATTAAAATTGTGTTTTCATTATTTTTTCATTGAAATTTTTTTTCACGAGAATCTTTAAATAGATAATACTTTGTTGAGCATGTTTACAAAGTGCAGGTATTAAGTATACAATTTAAGTTTTGAGCTTAATGTGTCTTTATATTTTGGGTTTGATTCTTTTGTGTTCACGATAAATGTTCAATTTTTTTTAATTGTACAATGTTTTCACACACAAGTTATCGCTATAAAAACCCTAGCACACCCGCCAAATACCAGGTAATATTTTGTTAATCATTTATGTAAAATGCGGGTGTATTAAAGGATGCATGTTAAGTTTTCAACTTAGTGTACGTTTAAGTTCAATGTTTGATTATTTCATATTCACAATCATATTCAATTTTTTTAAAATTTTATAATATTTTCAGACACGGGTTATCGCTAAGAGNCTTACCATATTCATCCTCCAAAAAAAAATTTCTTTTACGGTTGAGGACCTTGAGAACAAATTCACAATAAGTAGACCTTGATCAATACTTACCATTTTCATCCTCGAAAAAACTAATTCTTTTACGGTTGGGGACCTTGAGACCAAATTTATAACAAATAGACCTTGGTCAGAAAGGGATTTTTTCACAGTCAATAGAAAAGACTCTTCCACAAAATCAGCAGCAGGGCAAGTCATTCCAGAACTGCACAACAGAAGTGAAAGCTAAGAAAAAAAAACGTGTGAAAATACTAGAAAGGAGGGCGCAAAAAAATATAACTGACACAATTACATCAAAACCTGCTTTTACCTTGTATCAGAAGAGTCCACATCAACAATAAGTATGTCAATTGTNATCTCTTCTCCTGTTGCTGCACCATACTCTTTAAGTCCTCCCTCTCTCTCGCACTCACAAGTCACGAACGTCACACACCCACTGAATCTCTCTCAAAAAAAGAGAAAAAAAAAAGCTGGATAATATCACATTTTTTTCACATTACTCCCTTGANACTGACACAATTACATCAAAACCTGCTTTTACCTTGTATCAGAAGAGTCCACATCAACAATAAGTATGTCAATTGTAATATTGTGTTTGCCTTCTGCTGGGGAAACGATGCAACTTCCATTGGAAGCCGGGGGCTTCGTATCGCACAGATCATCCTCATTTCCATGACTCCGTCTCACTTCATCAGCTACCTCAAAATTTGCAACCTCTTTAATAAACTGAATCCCATCAGTAATATGTACCTGAAACACCATAGATTAAACTGAAAGGATAAGTATAGTGCATAGAGAAAACTAAAGAAATAATTGAAGTCAACATATTGTGTACTCAACTCTTAGATAATGCTAATGAAGAGGAAAAACAATGAAAAATGAACAAAAAAAGGATGAGGGACATAAAGTCCACATAACAGAAATAATGCCAAGTAACAGCTTGGAACCAAAAAACTGAAAACATGATAAAAAAGAATTCTATGCCTTCATTACAGGCTTACAGCCTTACTACATTTGACACCTCCTACGGNACTCAACTCTTAGATAATGCTAATGAAGAGGAAAAACAATGAAAAATGAACAAAAAAAGGATGAGGGGCATAAAGTCCACATAACAGAAATAATGCCAACTAACAGCTTGGAACCAAAAAACTGAAAACATGATAAAAAAGAATTCTATGCCTTCATTACAGGCTTACAGCCTTTCTGCATTTGACACCTCCTACAGATGTTCTAGGCATCTAGGCTTTTACATACCTTAGGACTCAAGAATAACAAGTCATGCTTATAACCAGATTGAATATGCAGAAAATATTAATGTGTTTACAGGTATTCTCGCATATATAATTTTGTGATCAAACCATAGTTGTTAGTATCGTACAATACGCAATACGTATCGTATGATACGTCAGGATACAGGGCTAAAACGATACAGATCGTAGTTTTGTATCGTTTTTGCATTGTATCGTCCGACACACGATACATTTTTGCNTGCTTATAACCAGATTGAATATGCAGAAAATATTAATGTGTTTACAGGTATTCTCGCATATATAATTTTGTGATCAAACCATAGTTGTTAGTATCATACAATACGCAATACGTATCGTACGATACGTCAGGATACAGGGCTAAAACGATACAGATCGTAGTTTTGTATCGTTTTTGCGTTGTATCATCCGACACACGATACATTTTTACAATCCGATACGTGCAAAACCTATTTATTTTTTTTAATGGAACGACGTCGTTTTGGGCAAAAAGACTGATTTTTTTATCCCTATAACCACTGAATTGACGTCGTTTCAGTGGCTAGGGTTTACAAAAAAAATAAAATCCATCTTTTCCTTCTTCGTTCAGCGAACATCTTCGACTCCTCCTGGGTGTTCTTCAGCCTTCGACGACGACGACGACGATCACAANACCTATTTATTTTTTTTAATGGAACGACGTCGTTTTGGGCAAAAAGACTGATTTTTTTATCCCTATAACCACTAAAACGACGTCGTTTCAGTGGCTAGGGTTTACAAAAAAAATAAAATCCATCTTTTCCTTCTTCGTTCAGCGAACATCTTCGACGACGACGACAACGATCACAAAGCTGCCTTCTTCCATCGAAGCAGCCTCCTCGTTGTTCGCTGGTCTTCGAACTCCAAATCTCTATATCTTCGAATGCTGGCCTTCGAATCGTTGTTCGCTTGTCTTCGCTGCCTTCGTTGTCCGCTGGTCTTCCATCGAAGCAGCCTTGTATTATAATATGGTGTGAACTTTTTATTATAATGTTAGTGAACTATGTTGATGACTTGAATAGTTGGTGGAGTGTTAATGAAATGCTNTCCAAATCTCTATATCTTCGAATGCTGGCCTTCGAATCGTTGTTCGCTTGTCTTCGTTGTCCGCTGGTCTTCCATCGAAGCAGCCTTGTATTATAATATGGTGTGAACTTTTTATTATAATATTAGTGAACTATGTTGATGACTTGAATAGTTGGTGGAGTGTTAATGAAATGTTATATTTTTATGAGTGTTTTATATTTTTTCAAAGGTATATATATTTTATTATTATTTATTTAAAATTGCGCCGTATCTTACGATACATGATACACAATACAATACGATACGATACACTATTTTTAAAAAACAATACGCCTTCTGATACACGATTTGATAACTATGGATCAGACATCCACAAATTATTTTTGTATAGATTACCCAATGACAAGAATTATAAAACCAAATGTGNCGATACACTATTTTTAAAAAACAATACGCCTTCTGATACACGATTTGATAACTATGAATCAGACATCCACAAATTATTTTTGTATAGATTACCCAATGACAAGAATTATAAAACCAAATGTGTGGATTATTTCTCTCTTCCACTGGTCAAAGTTATATATGGAGATCAAAGGATCAGATTTGGGATTGTTGCCGATGAGAATGAACCCCTTATCCCATCCCACTCTTGATGGGATTGAAAACTGGCATCAGCATCTTACTAGCCCCACCTTTACAACTAACTCTAAGCTAAGGCAACAATTGAAGGATCAGATTTTAGAATATGAAAGAAAAGTCAATTGCTAAGATAGTTCAAAGCAAGAAAGAAGGTTTGGATAACCCATTGATGCAGGCCAAAAATAACCAAATAACTCGAAGATGTAAGTAGGATATTTTGATTTATATTATGATAGGGAAGATAACATTAGAATCACAAGAACAAGGACAGATAGTTGGGGAATCATTCATCGGACTAACTCAATTTCAAGAGAGGAATCACTCAACTCTCAAATGGAGGCTCAAAACACTGTCAAAAAGTCAATTTTCAGCAACCAAAAACTCCACCTCCCTCATTCCAATTAACAAGTATTGCTAGAAATTGTAACCAGATATATTTAACTATTACATGGGAAGTAGACCTTTCTTCTTGAAATCACACTTTACTTCTAGGTGCTTGTCTTCCTTGGGACTCTATGCCATATTAAATGCTTGTTCCTCATTAACAAAGAGCCATCTGAGAGAAGTCCACCACCAGTTGCATCATCCTCCCCCACATAAAAAAAACTCGACCTTGAGTTTTTTGCAATCCTCTCCACCATGCTTTATCTGTTCTTTAATTTTTCATCATCAATCCATGTGCCTTCGGATTTCGACTTACTCTTCCAGCGAACAAGATATTGAATATAGATTCCCTCGCGAGCTGTAGTGGATCTCACATCAAAGACATCAATTATTATAGTTGATTCAAAAAGTGGCTGAATCTTAAGCTTATGGTATGCACCACAAGAACCGTGCTCCATCCTCAAGCAAACAACCATGCTACCTTCTTCAAATCGAAAATCGCATTTATGTGCATCAAGTTTTCCTTTGTAACCATCATTAGCTTTCAAAAACAAGAAACTAGCATAAGTCTTTAGCAACTTTGGGTGGGATTTCTTTTAATGGATCAAAACATACTTCACCCCTCAGAACAGAAGAGTAAGAATTGTTGTAGTCATCATGTTGTACTTTCCAATCAAATTGCCAAGGTCTCCCAAGCAAAACGTGACAAACATCCATAGGAAATATGTCACATCAGTTGTTTAGCAGCAGAATGACACTCACATGTCTGAACGACACTCATAAGTCTCATTTAATTGCTCAAAGTGAAAGTAAGGAGCCGTGAATGACCTTTTTATCCTTTGCATTTCCTAATTGATGCTAACCACAAGAAAAGGAAAAATACAAAAACTAGGGANAGTCTCATTTAATTGCTCAAAGTGAAAGTAAGGAGCCGTGAATGACCTTTTTATCCGTTGCATTTCCTAATTGATGCTAACCACAAGAAAAGGAAAAATACAAAAACTAGGGAATTACCTTCAGACGTTTATCCTCTCTGAAACCAAAATATTCCCTAGCCATATCCAGAACAGCATGATCTAACTCCACCACCTGTAGATATGACAATAAACCAAGTTAAGAACAGTTCGTGAAAATCTATCCTAAAATTGTTATAGAACCTCAATTTACCTCAATGTCAAAAAAATGAAGGCATTTATGGAGAAACATAGGAAGTAATCCTGCTCCAAGACCAATTACAATTGCTTTAACCTGCAAATGATGCAACATTACTTTCAGCCATAACTAAGCAGATGTGTATGGCATCAGAGAATAAAAGTGATTGTATCAGTCATTGCATATTTTTGACAAGGGGATGTGGGCTAAAAAGCAGCAAGGACTTCCATTTTTAAAATGTGTACATAGACAATGTTTTCCCAAGAAAAGAAATCTTAGTCAAACAAGTTTAAGGAAACAAAGTTTTTCCTCTTGCAGTCGCAGGGAAACCAGAGGGAAAAAAAAAGGTGAAAACAGTGTAAGTCAACTAAATATAAAAACCCGTTAAAAAAAAACATATAAATAGTATGACTCAAACATATTTTCTCACCAAGCCTCCAGTTGACGCCACACTTTCCAAATATGAAGAAATCAACATAAACCCAGAGATGATCCCGGTATGATAAGAACTTGCCAAGTAGTTGTGATCAACTTTCAGATCATTGCTAGTTTCTATGGCATTAAAGATGGAAAAAAAATTACAGACAAGAAAAGGGGAAGATTACTTTCAGATCATTGCTAGTATCTTTTTTGAAACAAAGAAACTTCTGGTTATGTGTAAACATTAGGCAAACATACATACCACTAAGCATGATTTAAAAAAATCCCAAAAAACTTAACAGCATTCCAAAGATATAAGTTTGCTGAGATGTTACAATTGCCAGAACGAATATAGCCAGAACGTAGTATGCAATATGGCTACAAATAGCACCAGTAATTAGCATACAATGTGAGAATAGTTTTTTGTTTCTTCTCTTTTTCTGATCATATACCGAAACAACAAAAATATACTAGTCACAACAAAACCTGACGCACAGTTAATTATGGGTAGAATAAAATGTTACAGCATATGTTTGTCCACGATGGGAATGACTTGTGCTAATAATTTTATGCCTGACACTAAATTTCCAATGCATAGTCAAACAGAATTGAGCCTAGAAGGATGTCCTAGAAATACTTCAGCACCATCAATTCACTACAAGGCAAGCCATGAGAAACACATGCACTATTCGATTTCAACCATCAATATATGCAAAATTGTTCACTATCAAGCTTGAATTTACAACCACACATTGGATTGAGCTTCCTCAAAACTTTCTTTCAAACTTGGGCTTAGTTAAATTGGAGAATATACAGCTCGGCATATCCCAAACCCGCAACTTGGGCCAAAGGAGCATCTTTCTGCAGGTGTTTTTCACTTTCAAAGCAAGCTCAACATGAAAGATCATCTCATAAAAGACTGTCCAGTCAAAAATTGTAGGCTGCAATTGAGATGAAATTGAACTCAGGGAAAGGTTATGATCAGGGTTGAGATTCGATACCTAGGCCCAGCTTGTAGCAACAAACAAGTCCGCAAGCTCCTTCCTAACTAACTCTTACAAAGCAAAATAGAAGGAAAAATGGGAAGGAAGAAGAGATTGAACTTCTAAGGATGTAGGATCAAATCCCAGATGATATTGACACTGGAAGTTAAGACCTTTTCTTGTAAGGGGAAAAAACAAAAATCTAGGATATAGTACCAAGGCACAACCCAGCACTTATGAAGAATAGAAGAGCGAACCCATATAACCAGCTGAGAAACCCCTCAACATATCCCAATGTCCATCTCTACTGACATCTTGCCTGAAGCCTTCATTAACAGCATGAAAAGAGAATGGGATACAGGATCCTATCGTGTAACGCCCCTCAAACTCTAAAAAAAAAAAAAAAAATCCTCTTTTCATGTTTTTCACCAGAACAAAAAACCAAGCTGTGAATATGCATTCTTGTCTTTTGAATCTCACCCTCCCAAGTAAAGCAAGTATCTCTTCAAATAGTAATACACCTCCTCTGTATCTAGCTTGCACCCAAACACCATGTTACAAAATTTGATTCTCGAGCTAACTTCATTTTCCACAGAGACCATGCCAAAAATATAAACACCATCTGCACAAAATGCATTTGGGCCTATTTTCAATTGCACAAATCAACAGGGGAATGAGAAGGTGATTCTAGGTCCATATGATATATGATTCCACTCTTTGGAGAACGAGTAACTGGGAAATTGATTTCTAATTTCCCACCCAGGGTATAAACAGTTTCCCAGACTAANAAAAAAAAAGGTGAAAACAGTGTAAGTCAACTAAATATAAAAACCCGTTAAAAAAAAACATATAAATAGTATGACTCAAACATATTTTCTCACCAAGCCTCCAGTTGACGCCACACTTTCCAAATATGAAGAAATCAACATAAACCCAGAGATGATCCCGGTATGATAAGAACTTGCCAAGTAGTTGTGATCAACTTTCAGATCATTGCTAGTTTCTATGGCATTAAAGATGGAAAAAAAATTACAGACAAGAAAAGGGGAAGATTACTTTCAGATCATTGCTAGTATCTTTTTTGAAACAAAGAAACTTCTGGTTATGTGTAAACATTAGGCAAACATACATACCACTAAGCATGATTTAAAAAAATCCCAAAAAACTTAACAGCATTCCAAAGATATAACTTTGCTGAGATGTTACAATTGCCAGAACGAATATAGCCAGAACGTAGTATGCAACATAGCTACAAATAGCACCAGTAATTAGCATACAATGTGAGAATAGTTTTTTGTTTCTTCTCTTTTTCTGATCATATACCGAAACAACAAAAATATACTAGTCACAACAAAACCTGACGCACAGTTAATTATGGGTAGGATAAAATGTTACAGCATATGTTTGTCCACGATGGGAATGACTTGTGCTAATAATTTTATGCCTGACACTAAATTTCCAATGCATAGTCAAACAGAATTGAGCCTAGAAGGATGTCCTAGAAATACTTCAGCACCATCAATTCACTACAAGGCAAGCCATGAGAAACACATGCACTATTCGATTTCAACCATCAATATATGCAAAATTGTTCACTATCAAGCTTGAATTTACAACCACACATTGGATTGAGCTTCCTCAAAACTTTCTTTCAAACTTGGGCTTAGTTAAATTGGAGAATATACAGCTCGGCATATCCCAAACCCGCAACTTGGGCCAAAGGAGCATCTTTCTGCAGGTGTTTTTCACTTTCAAAGCAAGCTCAACATGAAAGATCATCTCATAAAAGACTGTCCAGTCAAAAATTGTAGGCTGCAATTGAGATGAAATTGAACTCAGGGAAAGGTTATGATCAGGGTTGAGATTCGATACCTAGGCCCAGCTTGTAGCAACAAACAAGTCCGCAAGCTCCTTCCTAACTAACTCTTACAAAGCAAAATAGAAGGAAAAATGGGAAGGAAGAAGAGATTGAACTTCTAAGGATGTAGGATCAAATCCCAGATGATATTGACACTGGAAGTTAAGACCTTTTCTTGTAAGGGGAAAAAACAAAAATCTAGGATATAGTACCAAGGCACAACCCAGCACTTATGAAGAATAGAAGAGCGAACCCATATAACCAGCTGAGAAACCCCTCAACATATCCCAATGTCCATCTCTACTGACATCTTGCCTGAAGCCTTCATTAACAGCATGAAAAGAGAATGGGATACAGGATCCTATCGTGTAACGCCCCTCAAACTCTAAAAAAAAAAAAAAAAATCCTCTTTTCATGTTTTTCACCAGAACAAAAAACCAAGCTGTGAATATGCATTCTTGTCTCTTGAATCTCACCCTCCCATGTAAAGCAAGTATCTCTTCAAATAGTAATACACCTCCTCTGTATCTAGCTTGCACCCAAACACCATGTTACAAAATTTGATTCTCGAGCTAACTTCATTTTCCACAGAGACCATGCCAAAAATATAAACACCATCTGCACAAAATGCATTTGGGCCTAGTTTCAATTGCACAAATCAACAGGGGAATGAGAAGGTGATTCTAGGTCCATATGATATATGATTCCACTCTTTGGAGAACGAGTAACTGGGAAATTGATTTCTAATTTCCCACCCAGGGTATAAACAGTTTCCCAGACTAAGCATGTATCTCATCCCCATGCCCGCCTTGATGATATAAGATCTCAACTTAATACTGAAAAGAAGAAAAAGGCTGGTTCCAAATAATTTCCCTATTATACCCCCCATGACAGGAACACCTAATAGTATAGAAATCCTTGTTTTCTCTCTCTCTCTGAGCCCAATCTCTTCTCTCTCTCTTTCTGTTTTGTACAAAAAGAAATTAATATAATCATCAGATGGCTGGTCCAAAATTGAAGTCTTTTGCTTGAATTCCAACAGACATGCAAAAGCAAATGCCTAGAACAGAAGAAAACTTACTGTCGAAAACCCTAGGTGATCCATCAAATAGGCCGACCAAAGTCCCTATTTAGAAGTATCAAAGAAGACCACTATTTCATAAATGACTCTTGGCGTGTGCTCTTTTGGTTTTGGTGTCTCTGGTACAAATTTATTATCTTACCATTAGTACAAATTTATCGACATTTTTCAGGACCTGTGGTGGATTTCCTAGAACATCCTTAAAGTCAAGTAAGGGCACTATAATACCCAAGAGACGATAACTTGAGAAACAGGAACCAAAACTCATGTATTGCATGCTATATGTGGAGATGCTTCTTGCTTATAAATTGTGAACTTCATTTCTCCTCATTTCCAAATGGATAGTATCAACGTGGTAAATAATTGAAACAGAGGTATTCTAGAATACCTCCTTAGAGAGATGAGGGAAAGGATACCATAGACCTCAAGTGAGCCAAACACCTATATGGACTTGACAACTGTGGCACCCATTTCCGGTAAATTTTTAATTATAAGATACTATCCAATTGTTATGTAAATTTCAAATTTTCGAAGACCAATTAAATGTAATCAACTGGATAACAGTCTAAAGATAATAGATCACACATGTTAATCCAGCAGCTGGTGATTCCATAAAATTTTTCACCATTTTCCATTTTCTATNATCCCCATGCCCGCCTTGATGATATAAGATCTCAACTTAATACTGAAAAGAAGAAAAAGGCTGGTTCCAAATAATTTCCCTATTATACCCCCCATGACAGGAACACCTAATAGTATAGAAATCCTTGTTTTCTCTCTCTCTCTGAGCCCAATCTCTTCTCTCTCTCTTTCTGTTTTGTACAAAAAGAAATTAATATAATCATCAGATGGCTGGTCCAAAATTGAAGTCTTTTGCTTGAATTCCAACAGACATGCAAAAGCAAATGCCTAGAACAGAAGAAAACTTACTGTCGAAAACCCTAGGTGATCCATCAAATAGGCCGACCAAAGTCCCTATTTAGAAGTATCAAAGAAGACCACTATTTCATAAATGACTCTTGGCATNAGAAAACTTACTGTCGAAAACCCTAGGTGATCCATCAAATAGGCCGACCAAAGTCCTTATTTAGAAGTATCAAAGAAGACCACTATTTCATAAATGACTCTTGGCGTGTGCTCTTTTGGTTTTGGTGTCTCTGGTACAAATTTATTATCTTACCATTAGTACAAATTTATCGACATTTTTCAGGACCTGTGGTGGATTTCCTAGAACATCCTTAAAGTCAAGTAAGGGCACTATAATACCCAAGAGACGATAACTTGAGAAACAGGAACCAAAACTCATGTATTGCATGCTATATGTGGAGATGCTTCTTGCTTATAAATTGTGAACTTCATTTCTCCTCATTTCCAAATGGATAGTATCAACGTGGTAAATAATTGAAACAGAGGTATTCTAGAATACCTCCTTAGAGAGATGAGGGAAAGGATACCATAGACCTCAAGTGAGCCAAACACCTATATGGACTTGACAACTGTGGCACCCATTTCCGGTAAATTTTTAATTATAAGATACTATCCAATTGTTATGTAAATTTCAAATTTTCGAAGACCAATTAAATGTAATCAACTGGATAATAGTCTAAAGTTAATAGATCACACATGTTAATCCAGCAGCCGGTGATTCCATAAAATTTTTCACCATTTTCCATTTTCTATCATAAATCAGCAACAGTTTGATATACAAATGCCATATTACACCAATCTCTAAGCAATATAATGGATATTGTACCTTCATACCCCACCATATATATCGCGAGGTAATTTGGCAGCAAAAGTCTGACGTTCCACTTTCACTAAGTTCTAATTTTTTTATCAGAAGGAAAATGCAGTTTATTTTACATTCGTCTGAAATTGGATGACTGAGGAAAAGTTTTTTGTGAATACACATTTCGGATGACACCAATGTTTATTCCCTTCACTGAGACTGTGTCCCGTCCTTCATAAATGTGTCATTCAGGCTTGTATACTTACTCCTAGCTTCAGTTTTAGAAAGACAGTTTACTTATTTCGAATTGAAAAAATCTAAACTAATCTACTCACTGAAATTATCAACAGAAAAAAGCAACAAAGACTTGAGTTACTACCATCAGATGGTGATGCATGAGACTTAGATCTTCTCTGATTTCCTTTTTTCCGAGATTTGGAAAATGAGCGGGTTGCCTTTTGCTCTATTTCACCCACAATTCTCTGTGATCCTTCTCTTGTAAGCAAAGCTTCAGATTGCACCAAACCCTCAGTTCTTTGAAAAGTAAGGCGACGGAATACCAATTCATGGGATGGAAAGAGACAGCCGAAATTATCATCAATTTTTTCATAGACCACGTCATCAACGACAATGGGACCAGTCAAGGCAGATGTAACCTACAGAACCCATAAAGTAAACAACAGGTGAGGGTGACAATACGATCCATATAGGCCACATCCTGTCATCTTAAGCGACTCACCAATACAAGTTAATTAACAACTGGATAATGATAGTTCAAATGGGTTATGGTACTTATAACACAGCAGCCACCTCACATGGTTAAAAAACTAATTCTAGTGACAGAAGGTGATTCACCTATTTCCACTAAAGGCACAATCCAGAAAATAAAATTCTAACATCAAGTGCAGTTTACAAACCAATGAAGTGATTTAAAGACAGAATCTCCAAGCACCTTAATTGTGGGAGATCAACAGGCACAATAATTTTAAAATTTTGGCATGAAGGGATCGTTATATAACTAGGACCACAAGTAAAACAAAAATTATAATCGACAGACTGCATAAAAACAAGTATTGAGCAGAATAGCAGCCAAGGTGAAAAGAGACACCATAATAAGTAGGTTCTAATACTTAGGACAACATATCCAGCATCAAAGATTACTTCCTTTGAGAGTGACCACATCCAATGGAGTCATAATTAGGCTCTAGTACTTTGCCGAATGCATCCTTGGCAATATCAAAGCTGTATTTACAAACTCATGGCAGTAACTCATAACATCTTTCATGAGACTTTAGATTGAAAGGTAAAATGCCTTACATTTAAAAACTATGACTTGTAAATTGTAATTCCCACCTTATTAATCAATTTCCTGATGCAGAATCAACATGACGAAAAATAGTAGTAACTAAGATCACACAGGGACGATATTAATAGAAATTTCGACGCCATGGATGCAATTTAATATTCAAGGGAAAAAAGCAGGAGAAGTCAACTTTGAACAATTNAACTAAGATCACACAGGGACGATATTAATAGAAATTTCGACGCCATGGATGCAATTAAACATTCAAGGGAAAAAAGCAGGAGAAGTCAACTTTGAACAATTGAATTGTACCCCGTTATTTTCCTGCCTCTTTTTTTCGATTGAGAAGTTCAATTTCAAAGCAAGGTGTCTACACAGATCCTTACTACGATCAACACCCATCAAATATATTTGGTCAGCCAAGAAAAGAAAAAGGTAGAGAGGAAAAAAAAACATATGATGTACATAAAACATCTACAAGCATTTCTTTCAGCAGACACTCAATTTCATTGATAAAGCCATTGGGAATACCTGGTCTGTTACCATCAAATATAAAAATATCTTAGGCTTCTGTTAGCATTAGAATAATAAAGGCCCATAATACTACATCACAAATGCTATGTGTGCAAAATCAAACATATATTCTTTCCAATGACCAAGCTTCTTCTTCTCATCTCCATATTGTCAAGCTTTCCTGTTAATAAAACATAAACACATTCAAGAGAGTTTTGAACCTGGTGAACAATCTTTCGTTGCTTGATTCCATCACTTGCTGCCATGAACCTAGAGAGAAATAAGCAATAAAAGTTACTTAGCATGAAGCAAGTTCATAAAGAAGCCACATATGCTTCAAAGCACAACTTAAATGCTTGCAGTCCCAGATAAAAATCAAGTAAGATATCTGTCTGCCTTATAAACTCATCACTGGTACTAATTAGTTGCAAATCCACAACCAATTTAGAGTCTGTCTTACTTTGATGCTATTGAATTTTATAATCTTAAGATTCATTTGTCTGTGTAATGCTCGACTGAATGACGTTTTGGGGACGGGAGGCATCAAGGATCAGAGCACTGGTGGTAAAATTGAAATGAGCATATGGCACTCCCAAGGACAACTCGAGCAGCCAAAAATTGCTCATTTTTAGGAGGCTGTGCTCCATATCCCAGTATCGGATCTATAAATACCCACATAGTTTTCCTTGTTATTTCAGAGTACTATATCTCCATTATGAACATATTAGGAACCCAAAGAACTAGAGCATAATGTAGTGAAATAATGTTCCAAAACTAACACAGGTTGTGTGAACAAATGATCTATAGGCTATACCAAATGATTATAATACAAATGACCACAATATCGATAATATTTGTGGGAAAAGAACAAGAAGAAATAATTTTCAGTAAGAGAACACTGAACAATTGAGATCAGAAACCTAGAATAGATAGCTTCCTGCAATAGATTAAGTAAATTTACTACAAACAACATACGGAATTTGAGCTTCGCCGGCATTTTCTCCTGGAGCCAATTGCCTAACCAGAGGAGAAAGATCCTTCTGAGGAAAAAAATCAATCAAAAAATTACCACCGAGTTCATTAATTAACAACTAGTTTGCATGTAAACATCAGCATACAAACTGATGCATTACCTGAATATCATCCATGTTGACATTACAATGGCTGGAGTCTAGTATAACCTAAGCAAGTGAATAATATCATTAAGATAAGCCATTTTTTCCTTCATAATTTCACTAGGATTTTGTGCTTTGAAAGGAAAAAAAAAAATCAAAGGCGGCTCTACTAGAAAAGATGTGATCATTAAGCCAGAAGGAAGGTACCATTATTAGACGAGCAGCCTTTGAGCTTTCAACGACCAGCCACTGTCCTTCTTCTGAAGAGAAGAGCCACTCATGAGCCCGAGTCTGGAATCTAAGATTAAGTTACATACTTAACTAAAAAATACAATACACAATGCAAAATATGAGTAGCATTACAGAATGCATGACAGGACACATATGGGCACTGCCACATTAATAGTTTAGATTTCAACTTTTGGCTGGTGGACCCAAACAATTCGGAATACCAGAGGTATTCAGATGTGAGGCATCTCGACAAACAGATAATATGGCACTATGACTCTGACATTCGTGTCGAGTAATAGCTAATCCCAACCCACTGATTTCGTGTTGANCGGAATACCAGAGGTATTCAGATGTGAGGCATCTCGACAAACAGATAATATGGCACCATGACTCTGACATTCGTGTCGAGTAATAGCTAATCCCAACCCACTGATTTCGTGTTAAGCAAATATCATCTTATCATGTTGTGTGGAAAATTTACCACCCCTAGAAGCCAAAAATAAGCATCAAAGCAAAGTGATTCCGGGCTTAGTGCTTCCGCCTATACAACAGCCGTTACCAGCTGTTCACCACTCCTCCCTTCTTGCTTATTTCGCTAGCATGACTCCTCTCTAAAGTCTCATTCAAGTCCTTAGTCCCACATAAAGCAATTTTTAGAGACTTTTGAGAGGTGAACTACTCCCTATATTAGCCGGTGCACCCTANTATTTCGCTAGCATGACTCCTCTCTAAAGTCTCATTCAAGTCCTTAGTCCCACATAGCAATTTTTAGAGACTTTTGAGAGGTGAACTACTCCCTATATTAGCCGGTGCACCCTAAACCGTAAACCGGCAACCAGGCAAGCAAGCAACTGCTCAGCCTTTATTTCGGTAGCCAGAACAGAATGGACATATGACCAATCGATTACGTTGAAAAGAAAGAAACTCATAGTTCATCATAAATAGGCAAGTGTCTTCTTGATTCCAAAACACGAAAAAAGAAAGAGCCTCGCTTGTAAATTTCTTCTATTCTTCGAGCAGCGCTTTCTTCTTGTTTTTGAGAGAGCATATTTCATTCTGGATAAAAGGCATATGAGATCTTATGAGAATTGGATCAGTAGCAGGTATATGTCCCCAGAACCCAGCATTTGCTCTCATTGGAGCTTCTCGTTTTTCACCTGACTTTGTTTTGTTCAATTCTCTCAAGTATTCTAGTGACATTCATGGCCACTCAAAGCTCTTTCTTGCCGACTTCTAAGCTCAGCCCCGTCTCCCTTTGCCACAGCCTACAAGATGTAATATTNGCATATGAGATCTTATGAGAATTGGATCAGTAGCAGGTATATGTCCCCAGAACCCAGCATTTGCTCTCATTGGAGCTTCTCGTTTTTCACCTGACTTTGTTTTGTTCAATTCTCTTAAGTATTCTAGTGACATTCAAGGCCACTCAAAGCTCTTTCTTGCCGACTTCTAAGCTCAGCCCCGTCTCCCTTTGCCACAGCCTACAAGATGTAATACTTCTAAATACTTTGGGAGGAGTTAGGCTTTCTCTTCTCACCTCTTCTCCTTCCTCTCCCCCTTCTTCTATTCATCTTTATTCTTCTTATCATCTCTATAAATCCTAATGCATCCGTGTTATTGGCTAATCTCCCTTTTTGCCTATCTCTCTCTCATCTCTTCTCTCTTTTAAAGCAATCTAGCTCCATTCTTCTCCATAACCTAGTGAACTGCCAGGCCCCTAATGTACTCTGACTTGTTTCCATTCCCTCTTCTTATTCCCCTCCTCACGGATTCAAGAAAGTTTCCCCTTGTCCTCAGATTCTCATTCCCTTCTCTTAACTCTGCAAACACAATCAGTTCATTTTCTCTTTCCTCTCTTCCCTTCTCAGTTCTCAAATATTACCGCGAAAAGAAAAGGAAGGAAAATAACAAACAACAATAAAAGCAGCAAAGTTTTGGCTCTCCAATTGTTCAGTGAAATGCTCATAGAATGTTTGTCCGTGCAAAATGCATCAGGTTATGGTTTGTTCAGTGACGTCTGGCAGGTTTGTGTATTGACAGTGATAAATTGCATCATGGTCGGTTCAGTGACGTCTAGCAGAAAGTTGTGTATGCCAGCACAATCACTGTTAATGATAGGTGAATATTTGAGTGCACGCACAAGTATATTTCCAGAAGAACAAACTTGTTACTGTTGGGATTTGAACTAACACATGCCCAAATCTTGTATCTATTTTGCACATAGTGAAAAACATTTGTCCCAGGAATTCAAATGACAGTGCAAAACCAACNAACAAACTTGTTACTGTTGGGATTTGAACTAACACATGCCCAAATCTTGTATCTATGTTGCACATAGTGAAAAACATTTGTCCCAGGAATTCAAATGACAGTGCAAAACCAGCACACACTAAGAATTCTTCAGAAACATTTTCAGCATATAATTGCCCAAATTCAAACCTGATGGTTCTTCGATTCAAATTCAATGATAAAGAGCTAACAAAATGAAGACTTTTCAGAAAGCCAAAACATAGGCAATATGCCACTACAATATGATGGATGACTACTGACTACAATTACCTAATTCTCACAAAGCACATAAAAATTAGAAGTTTAGCTAACTGAGAATGTTTTCAACAGCTTGTACCAGTCCACATATGTTTGGAACAGACAAAACAGGGGCCTCTATTAGTAATATTGCAACCAGCTCTAAATCTGGTTTTAATGCAAATAATTTTGAAACAGCCCTCAAAATCATAAAGATTATAAAAGCATTTTTAGGGAAAAGGAAGCAGGTGGTCCTTTGTTGTGGACACAAATAAAATAGGTAATGCTGCAATTGAAACTAGCCGTAGGCACAAATCAAATAGGCAATGCTGCAATTGAACAAAAGTAAACTACTTCATTGCTTCTTTTTGGGCTTCTGTCACTAAAAATTTCGAAGAAACTCCTCGCTTTTGCATTGTGGCAAGGAGGAAAGCAGTTTATTACTTGAAGGTTTTGAGATCATACATAACTAAGTCTTATAATGTATTTTCCTGTCTTTGTTTCTTTATTTTCGAGCAGGACAACTTGTCCGCCTTCATATATATTGTATAGTTATCAATAAAAGAGACTGTTTCCTATCAAAAGACAAATTGAAACTAACCTTAGGCACAAGAAAGACCCCACAACGATACAAGAATGAGACAGACTGTTGCCTAGCATCAAGAAGTACAGCTCTGTAAGAGAAATGAGAGCCCCCTGGTTCACCCAAAGTCAACTGTACCCGACGACCTGGATTAAGCTTTGCCAGACCCCCTTTAGCTCCTAATTTCAGATCTTCAAGCGAGTACAATATATCAGATCCATTGGAGTATTCTGCACGAATTTTATTCTCACTTTCAAGTGCTTCAAGGAGTCCCCGAGCCTAAAAACATAGGTGCAGCTTCTATCAAAATCTCAATATATTTGAATAGCAAAATTTTCTAAAAAAAGAAAATATTCAAAATAAAATGTATCAAAGAATGTCAAAGTAGAGAAACCTACGTGTTAAATCAGCTATCATGAGTACTACATGTTGCTACCTTTTAGAGTCGGGAGAGTCTGTAGACACAATGTCATTTTCTTTCTTCTTTTACTATTTCTTTTTTTTTTTTTTTTGGGTAGGGGATAAAAAAAGTGAGGACATTCTGGGTATGCAGTTATACATAATAAATACTGCAAGCAAAGAAAATTATTTTTCAAAAAGAAATATGGAAAACACAAGAAGTGCCTTCACCTGACTCCCAAAACAATCAAGAGAAGAATGGTTGAATGATGATGATATCGGGCACAACACAGTATAATTCTCTTTCTCAGCAATCAACATAAAGGTTTGCAGGCTAGGCTTGTTGGATGGTTTCTGAGGAATAGCATGAACATTCACTGTNTTGAATGATGATGATATCGGGCACAACACAGTATAATTCTCTTTCTCAGCAATCAATATAAAGGTTTGCAGGCTAGGCTTGTTGGATGGTTTCTGAGGAATAGCATGAACATTCACTGTCCACCCATATCGGAACTTGGGGAAAAGTAAACCTAAGCACACAAAAATAAAACAATAGAGTATGCATCTTTAGTATAAGCACACCACTTGTGATAAACCTAAGCAAAAGCTAGTTAACTTGAGGATAATCTCTTTAAATTGACTGAGAAAGCAATAGCATGTAAAACTAAAATTTCCCACCAATCCAATGTAGTTGCGGTATACAATACCTAAAACATGAGATTCTGCCAAGGTGAGACAAACAAATTTTCCCCCAGACTTTAAAACTCTTTTCACCTGGTGAGACACAACACACACTGGTGTGAAACCAACAGGAGACTTCAATCATCTATTACTCATAAAATAAATTTTTGAGAAAATACAACAATAAACATGTGAAAAAGTATACTCAAATTTGAGTCCAGGACACCTCTGATAAATATTGATTCCCTAACTTGGGGCCCAACTCAGGCTCCATCAAAGCATCTAATCCTCCCTTATCAAGAACGGCATGAAAACTTTCATCTGGAAACTGAATACAAATCAAAACGGTTAGAGAAAGGGAAAGAAGGGAAGAAACACGTAGTCAAGAAGAAGGAATCAGATTTCAATTTTCATGACTCAAGAAGCATATAAACAATGAACAAAATAAAAACTCATCAAGCAGCCACAAATGGTTACCGCAGCAAACCCAATTAAACAAGCTAACTCTCATCCACAAACTGAATAAAAAGTCAAAACAGTTAGAGAAAAGAAGGCAATTGCAGAAATTTATGGTCAAAAAATAGGCAATTACATTTCAAGTGTCATGACTCAAAAGCATATAGCCAAAGAACAAACTAATAACCATCAAGAAGCCACAAGCACATAAAATCCAATAAATCAAGCTGTTATATATTATATGACATTAAGCTGCCATCATACAAATACATATATTCAAACAATATTTGATGAACATAAGTCGGAAACTTGAGGGCAATGAAGGTAGCCTTAGTTGGTAAGTGGCTCCACTAGAACAAAATTCTCTATGGTATTCGGTTATTAAGAGAAAATATGAATTACAAGCCAATGGATGAGATGTAAAAGGGGTTGATAGGGGAACTTATCGATGCCCATGGAAATTTATTTCTCAGGAGCTTTCACGGTTCTCTCAATATGTTACATTCATGGTAGGTAATGGGAAGAGAGTTTGTTTCTGAAAGAATGTTTGGGTTGGGAAATCTTCTTTTTCATGTATGTTCCCAAGTGTTTAGCATCTATCTCAGTTTCGTGGGTCTTCTATTGTCTCATATCAATATTCTAATCAATCAGTTTCTTGGGACTTTGGATTCTGTAGAAATCTTGATGATAGAGATTTTAAGGAGTTGGTGTCACTTATNCATAAAATCCAATAAATCAAGCTGTTATATATTATATGACATTAAGCTGCCATCATGCATATACATATATTCAAACAATATTTGATGAACATAAGTCGGACACTTGAGGGCAATGAAGGTAGCCTTAGTTGGTAAGTGGCTCCACTAGAACAAAATTCTCTATGGTATTCGGTTATTAAGAGAAAATATGAATTACAAGCCAATGGATGAGATGTGAAAGGGGTTGATAGGGGAACTTATCGATGCCCATGGAAGTTTATTTCTCAGGAGCTTTCACGGTTCTCTCAATATGTTACATTCATGGTAGGTAATGGGAAGAGATTGTTTCTGAAAGAATGTTTGGGTTGGGAAATCTTCTTTTTCATGTATGTTCCCACGTGTTTAGCATCTATCTCAGTTTCGTGGGTCTTCTATTGTCTCATATCAATATTCTAATCAATCAGTTTCTTGGGACTTTGAATTCCGTAGAAATCTTGATGATAGAGATTTTAAGGAGTTGGTGTCACTTATATCCTTGATAAATGAATTTAGGTGGTGTCATGAATTATGTAATAAAAGAAATTGGATATTTTAGACTTCTGGGGTATTCTCATATAAATCATTTTTTGATAAACTGATTGAAGATCCTTCACACACTATGTTTTCTCCCTCCGTGATGATTTGGAAGGCAAAGGTTCCCATAAAGGTGCAAGTTTCTACATGGACTATAGCTCATGGTACGATAAATACCAATAATGTGCTTCAAAGAAAAAGTCCATTTCTTTGTAATTCTTCACAGTGGTGTGTCATGTGTATATGTCCTAGTGAGAGTATTGATCATTTGTTTTTACATTGCCCTATTGCTTTATTTTTGTAGATTAAATTGTTTCAATTACCAGATTTGAGTTAAGTGATTCCTGGGTCATTTGTCTCCATGTTAGTGGAGAAATTCGAGGGACTAGAAAAGCATAAGAAATTGGTGATTATATAGGATTGTGCAATGTTATCGACTGTATGGGTAATACAGAAGGAAAGGAATCCAAGAATATTTGGTGATAAAATAGAGTGGANCTATGGTATTCGGTTATTAAGAGAAAATATGAATTACAAGCCAATGGATGAGATGTGAAAGGGGTTGATAGGGGAACTTATCGATGCCCATGGAAGTTTATTTCTCAGGAGCTTTCACGGTTCTCTCAATATGTTACATTCATGGTAGGTAATGGGAAGAGAGTGTTTCTGAAAGAATGTTTGGGTTGGGAAATCTTCTTTTTCATGTATGTTCCCACGTGTTTAGCATCTATCTCAGTTTCGTGGGTCTTCTATTGTCTCATATCAATATTCTAATCAATCAGTTTCTTGGGACTTTGAATTCCGTAGAAATCTTGATGATAGAGATTTTAAGGAGTTGGTGTCACTTATATCCTTGATAAATGAATTTAGGTGGTGTCATGAATTATGTAATAAAAGAAATTGGATATTTTAGACTTCTGGGGTATTCTCATATAAATCATTTTTTGATAAACTGATTGAAGATCCTTCACACACTATGTTTTCTCCCTCCGTGATGATTTGGAAGGCAAAGGTTCCCATAAAGGTGCAAGTTTCTACATGGACTATAGCTCATGGTACGATAAATACCAATAATGTGCTTCAAAGAAAAAGTCCATTTCTTTGTAATTCTTCACAGTGGTGTGTCATGTGTATATGTCCTAGTGAGAGTATTGATCATTTGTTTTTACATTGCCCTATTGCTTTATTTTTGTAGATTAAATTGTTTCAATTACCAGATTTGAGTTAAGTGATTCCTGGGTCATTTGTCTCCATGTTAGTGGAGAAATTCGAGGGACTAGAAAAGCATAAGAAATTGGTGATTATATAGGATTGTGCAATGTTATCGACTGTATGAGTAATACAGAAGGAAAGGAATCCAAGAATATTTGGTGATAAAATAGAGTGGAAGGAAGGTTTATGACATCGTAATTATTTTTTAGCATTGTTGTGACATGTTTCCAAGGAGTTTGATGGCATTCTGCTTTTTTGTATCTTGGCAGATTGGAGAGCCTCTTGTGATACATAATTTCTATAAGTGAGATTTGTCTTTTCCTTTTCACAAATGGATATCTTATCCATCCAGATTTTCTTTTATGTATAGTTTATATCATTTTTACATTAATAACGCTTTCCTGTTTCCAATCAACAAAAAGGTAGAAAACAAACTTTCTCATCTCTTTTGTTCGAACAATGGAAACTAAAGCTTTTTCAAATGAATAATTGGAACCTAATTTAGAATTTCCTTTTTATGTATATGCACATAACCCAGTATACCTTTTACAATTTACATTATATCTTGATTTCCATCCCGGTGCAAAGAGTAGCAGGGCAATTTCCTTCGGTTCGTTGTTATTGTTAATTGTCTCAGTCTTGATAGCTTTCATCGCTTTCATCTGGTATATTTATGACCTTGTGATGTAAGGCCACACCACTTGCATGGTCACATTCACTCACATGGCAANTGCTTTATTTTTGTAGATTAAATTGTTTCAATTACCAGATTTGAGTTAAGTGATTCCTGGGTCATTTGTCTCCATGTTAGTGGAGAAATTCGAGGGACTAGAAAAGCATAAGAAATTGGTGATTATATAGGATTGTGCAATGTTATCGACTGTATGAGTAATACAGAAGGAAAGGAATCCAAGAATATTTGGTGATAAAAGAGAGTGTANTGAAATGTATTATTAAGGACAGCTCTACGTCAAGGTTATTAAAATCGCGATCCTACTCGTACGATCCCATGATCCAAAATTAACAAATCAATCCAGATAGTATAAAAAATCACAAACTAGTAGGATCGAAAAGGATCAAGATCCGAATCGTTTAGAATCGTAGGATCCTAATCCAACAACGATTTATGCGATCCAATTTTTTGGCCTTTTTTGACAGTGGGCTAACTTGGGCTTTTCCATTTTCTGTTGGAGACAGCCAGTGATCTATGGATTAAACAGAAGTCGGTCCATCTATGGATTTATTTGAGTGTTTCTTATAGATACACACACACACACATATATATGTGTNATTGTTGTGACATGTTTCCAAGGAGTTTGATGGCATTCTGCTTTTTTGTATCTTGGCAGATTGGAGAGCCTCTTGTGATACATAATTTCTATAAGTGAGATTTGTCTTTTCCTTTTCACAAATGGATATCTTATCCATCCAGATTTTCTTTTATGTATAGTTTATATCATTTTTACATTAATAACGCTTTCCTGTTTCCAATCAACAAAAAGGTAGAAAACAAACTTTCTCATCTCTTTTGTTCGAACAATGGAAACTAAAGCTTTTTCAAATGAATAATTGGAACCTAATTTAGAATTTCCTTTTTATGTATATGCACATAACCCAGTATACCTTTTACAATTTACATTATATCTTGATTTCCATCCCGGTGCAAAGAGTAGCAGGGCAATTTCCTTCGGTTCGTTGTTATTGTTAATTGTCTCAGTCTTGATAGCTTTCATCGCTTTCATCTGGTATATTTATGACCTTGTGATGTAAGGCCACACCACTTGCATGGTCACATTCACTCACATGGCAATTTAAGTCAGCTAGGTAACATGACAACTTGGACCATATGAGATGTTTGAAACGTGTTCCCAAAAAAAAAGGTGTTGACATGTGGGCAAGGAAACCAATAGCTAGGGTTTGAAGCTCTTCAATGTTTCTCCATATATAACAAGTCTTGCCTCTTTTCAAATTCTCGGAACAATTCTATGGTGAATGCCCTCTCCAAACCAACCCCCTTCCTCCTTTCTTCCAACTTTTTACTCCACAACTATCTTTTTGATACGTATGATTGTGCAAAATCTCTAATACTAGTGATATGAAGCTAAAAATTGTCTCTACTTTTTGCATATCATCAGCCACGTAATCCAGCATTGTGCCTCCATGATACCAATTCTTTCTTTTGATTGTTTCCCTTGTAAGTCCATCTATCTTAATTTTACCTTAATCATCTCTTGCCTCGATTTTATAGTTCTGTCTTGGGTGATTTGTACTTGCACCTCTCTTGGCCACATAAAAACAGCTACTCAACAATTTNCTTGGGTGATTTGTACTTGCACCTCTCTTGGCCACATAAAAACAGCTACTCAACAATTTTTTCGTGACTATGAATTGATGTGGTTCTATCCTCATAAATCAAAAAAAAAAAAATTCCAAAATAAAAGTGAGAAGGTAAAACAAATAACAGATAGTCGCATACGATGTATAATACAAAGGGGAAGGGAAGCCTACACCTCTATTGTACGGAGTTGAAAACATTGACAGTGAGCAACTTCCCACCCCCACCCCTCAAAGGGAAGGGAATTTTTGTCAAGAATGAGGTCATATCACTTTTTTTTCAGAAGGTGAGATCATATCACTTAAACAAATGTGAAATTGGAATTTCCTTTCCCTCAAACAACCTCANACAAAGGGGAAGGGAAGCCTACACCTCTACTGTACGGAGTTGAAAACATTGACAGTGAGCAACTTCCCACCCCCACCCCTCAAAGGGAAGGGAATTTTTGTCAAGAATGAGGTCATATCACTTTTTTTTTCAGAAGGTGAGATCATATCACTTAAACAAATGTGAAATTGGAATTTCCTTTCCCTCAAACAACCTCAAATTCTTTCCCTTCAAATACACTGGAAGATATCTGACAACTAGGAAACACCCACAAGACTACACAAGTGATGAAGGCACAACCCACACATCCCTGGCTATTGAAAATGCAAAAAGAGATGACTAACTATTTCCTCCCCTCCTGCACATACAACAATATGGTAGCATGTTCCTTTTCAACCCAATTACCCATTACAAGATTCCTCCTAAGAGATCATCAAAACAAAGTGTACAATCTTAAAAGAAATGTCCCTACTAAATGCCTTCTCAAAGAAATATAAATCACACAATTCACAAAACATTCAATAGTAAAACTTTGCAGCAAAACCACCTCTTCTTGCAGCCAACAACCTCACTCTACTTTTCCAGTGGACCACAGATGAATATTGGCAAGGGCTATGAAAAATAGGTCTTGAAATGTATTATTAAGGACAGCTCTACGTCAAGGTTATTAAAATCGCGATCCTACTCGTACGATCCCATGATCCAAAATTAACAAATCAATCCAGATAGTATAAAAAATCACAAACTAGTAGGATCGAAAAGGATCAAGATCCGGATCGTTTAGAATCGTAGGATCCTAATCCAACAACGATTTATGCGATCCAATTTTTTGGCCTTTTTTGACAGTGGGCTAACTTGGGCTTTTCCATTTTCTGTTGGAGACAGCCAGTGATCTATGGATTAAACAAAAGTCGGTCCATCTATGGATTTATTTGAGTGTTTCTTATAGATACACACACACACACATATATATATGTGTGTGTGTGTGTGTGTTTATCATCACAATTTTGATCAAGCACATAGACAAGGTTAGGTTGATTGAAATCTCTACCACTGAATTCATTTTTTCTCTATTTTCTTTAATAAATAGGATCTTATGATTCTTGATCCGATCCTACGATTTCGATCCTACAGTCACTCCCACCGATCCAAGGTAGGATCCTAATTTTAAAAACCTTGCCTGCGCGTAAAAGTTCATGCCATAAATGAACTCTGAACATTCCCCACCAAGAATCCAATGTGTTTTTTCAATTCATCCTAACTTATTCAATTCCCACAATCTGTTGTAATGCTCTCATATTTTCCCACCACAATCCTTTTCCAGAAATTGTTCCAATGAAGAGAACATTTGTATAACCAATAAACCAACAAATTTCAGTAAACAAACTCATTTTTCTTACATTTAAATCCCCTTTCTTCAAGGGGCTTCAGTTGTTAATGCCAAAAGTTAACCTTTAGTGATTATTTTATTTGCTCCTGTATTCCTTAATTATGCGCATCACAATGGGGCTAGTTAAAACTGAAGACATGGCTGCCCATCTTATTCCCTTCTCTCTCTAGATAGTTGTCCAACACCCTTTTATTCTTCTTCTCATTTTCTTCAACTTCCTATTCTTGTTCTTCTTCTTCTACATATTTTCTCCTCTAGTTGGTTGTTTGGAAAGTTTTTAGCTTTCTTTGAATCACTCGTTGCACATTCGTAGACTCAGGAGTGTGTGTGTTACATCTAAATTGTTGTGTTGAACGAACCTGTATTTTGCTTGTTGGCTAATATCCCAAGCTTCTATTTCAAAATCCACTTTCATCTCAGGTCATTGATTTCAGTGCTCAGGATGTTTACTTTTGTTCATATAATGCCACTTCCACCACGTATTTGTGGTCCAATAAATTCTTACAGTAGGTAAAATGTCTTTGTACTTGGTTGCATTTGACAATTTTCTGTCTCTTGTCACATTCTTAACTCTCGGTTTGTTGCTTAACGCTGCAAAGGAACAAAAATCATTTTATGTCCGAACAGGATGAGGAAATAGCTGGCCACTCCATTAGACCAGCACATTACAGTTGCTAGGTTCATTCCCATATTTTTGTAAAACAATTTCTAGAACTAATTTTATTCACTCTAGGTTGCATTATCAACAGAGTGTAATATCATATCACCCCAAAGTTCATTTAATAATTCAAGTGAACTGCCCCCTCCTTTTTGAAAAGACAATATGGCCATGTCACAACAGCTCTTATTCTGATATATGCATGAGAAAAGGTGCCAATAATGATGCATATATACAAAGGTCATATTCTCTGCTCCCCTTTTGCAGATCAGCATATTGCCATTTGACTAACAAGATAATGTATTTCACTTCATGGACCACCCTCATACAATTATAAAAAGCATTGCTCTTGGTTAATCAAATATTAGTAGGAAAAGTAAGCAACACCAATCCCATCACGAGGCACAACCAATTTTTTGCCAACTTGGACAAGCTTCAAGGCAAAAACTAGTTTGTGTTGGCAAATTTATAATATGGCATCAATATTAATGCTGCCATGGGTGTACAAAAATGCTTTAACGTCCCATTAGGAATTTATCATCCAAAAATGCCCTCAAAACATCTAACCCAAAAATAAGTCAACCATCTTAAACATGAATAAATTAAAATAAACTACATGAACAAAAGGGCCAGTACATATTGATTTATCCATGTAATTACTATGCATCTCCAATGTCTTCCGAACTTCAGTGTATCCAATCAATATAATTGTTTAACATGCAATAAAAACGAACAAAAACATTTGTGTGTAGGTGAGTACGCGAGAAAATGGAGAATTGGACGTTCAAACACACCTGCATACTAGTCATATCCATGATACGCCACCGCATATCCGGCCTGAACCTCACATTCCTCCTCAACATATCCGAAATCACCACTTTCGAGAAATCAATATTAGTAATACTATGAAACCCTGAATCATATAAATTTTCCGAAAGCCGAGAATTCCCACAGCCAGGTACAAGAATTTGCATTTTCGATGCGTCCACCTGTGGCAGTGGCGGTGTTGACGCTGCGCCGGAGGAGGAGATCGCAGCATCTAGTGGTGGTGGTGATGGTGAGGGTGATGGTGGTGGTGGTGGTGAGAGATGAGAGAGAAGAGGAACTTTGAGTTGAGGCCACTCGGCGTACCATTCAAAAGAATCGTCGCTGCCTCTGATACTGAAGAACTTGTCCCAATTCTCTTTGCTGGTGAAGTCCCCTAGGGTTTGTAGGAGGTCTTCTTGTCGTTTGTCTTTCGTTCCCATTCTCTCGCTCTTGCAGTGAGTGTTTGAGTGGTGTTTATGAGGGTTAGGGTTTTGAAGGGTTTTAACTCAGAAGTTGGTAGGACGAACGTCGTCGAATGTAGTCTTCTAAGCGTGAATTTTGTTTTGAGTACTAGATCACCCCAAAAGCATCCATTTTTATCCCCCCTAAAGTATAAAATAGGTTGTGTTTGTTAAAATTGAAAATTGTAGTCCGTAAATTAAAAATTGAAGCCTCAAAGTTAAATGTTAAATTTATGAATTATTTGGTATCTACTTAAATTTAAGTACCGAATTAAATCAAATTTTTTAATAACTATATTGAGATGACATCTAAAAATAAATTAATTTTCAGTTTTACCTTTCTACTTTTTAATATAAAAATATTTATAAAATATGAGTTTATTTAATAAAAATGACAATATATCAAATCAATTTAATTTATAACATAAATCATAATCATTATTATCATATTATAATCTACATTTAACAAACATGATAATTAAATTAATTTAAGTTAAATTAATCACTTATAGCTACCAATTGTCATAAATTTTAAAAATTACAACTAAGATACAAATGAAGAGTTTAGTTGTTGAGCAATCTCTTCACGCAAATTGAGCATAAAAATTTGATCACCTTGTGTCTTTCCTCCTCCAGCTTCCAAACTAGTTGAAGTATGCAAATTTTGATGGGGATTGTCATAAGCAGTATTGACATCACTAAACTGGTCCAAAAAAACATATGTGATACGAGTTCATAGGATAAAATTATGTGTGCTTATATAAGTAATTACAATATTCCTTTGTACAGCAAAAGAATATGATGACATCTTTTTTAATATTGAAAAACGAGCTTTCAATACTCTAAAAACACTTTCAATCACAATTCTTAACTTAGCATGTGTTTGGTTGAATAACTCTTCTTTTGTTCTTGGACGAAAATTTTGAAAATCAGACAACCAATACCGCACGTTACGATAGGGTGACATAAATCCACGACTATGTGTATATGCCGTATCGCATAAAAAGTATTTATCTACACGAATAATATAAAATAAATTATCTACATAAATATTTTGTAACATTAATTAAATATTTTCATCTAACTTTGAGGAAGAATTGGGAAATTATTAACTTCAAAAATTGAACGAACAAAAAAGCATTGTTTCCCCATTGTGTAGAATGGCAAAACAAAGACAACAGAATGGATCCCAAAATTCTGGATTGTATAGGGTTAGGAGAAAGTCAAACTCAATAAAATATGTAAAATCAATTGGCAAGAAAATAAAGTGTGTAAAAAAAACGTTCTTTGGAAACTTGTTACAAGCCGATCAGACCTTTGCTCGAGCTGTTTGTGCCACTTGAAGGGCCAGAACTTCGGATGAGACATTTTCTTGTGTTGTTTGACATTTTTTAGGTTAAAGAAGGGCAATTTATTTATATATATATAACAAACAAATTAGATGACATCATGAGAGAGAGCTTGACAAACCTTCTCTACTTATTTTTCGTTTTTTATAGAATTTTGATCAAACAAATTAGATAAGAGAGGGTTTGATAAGCCTTACCTCCTTTTTTTTTTTTTGATAGGATTTTAAAATTTTTAATTCAACAAACATGATTCTTCAAATAAACTCCTTACACTTGGATTTTGAAAAATTTTCCACTAACCCAAAACAGTTATCTACTCCAACTTAATCTCCTCACTACCCATTTTTCATGCATGCCATTACCTCTTATCCATTCTATTTCTCCATTATCAATTCTCTTGTCTTCACTCTTGGACTCTTAGTCTCCCCTTTGCTCTCTCATCTTTCATCTCTCTATCATAAATACATCTTAGGATCCTGACAATTCTGTAGGCTGATTCAAGATATTTTTTAAAGGTTATATTAGAACTTTAATTATATTTTTTGTTGAATAACCCTGCATCGCAGGGGACTCTTGTTAATTGTAGAAATATACTAATCTTCAGGACTGATATTATCACTTTCCGTTAGGGTTTTTAGCGTCCATTGGATAGAAGGGGTCTATATGTAAAGATTTACAAATGTTAGGGTTCTCTATATTATTTTTGAAATTTTAGGGGATTATCATGCCATATGATATACAGTCAGGGGGTGGTGTGAAATTTTTAACCCAATCATATTGTTAAATTTCTTTCTTAAACGAATCGAATCTAATTGATGAGTAATTCGGGTTGAGTATGTTTGGCTTGACATGTGCATAGATTTTAGTTGGGTTAATTATAAAATACACTCTTCAATTTTGAGAAGTTTGTCATTCACCCTTTTTGGTCATAAATCTAGGAAGTAAATTCAGTCAGATAACCCTTCCACCACCTTTCTTTTCCTTAAAATGTTCTTGATTTTCTTTTTTCAATAGGAAATACTACTTATAAATGTCAGCATGTGTGAAAAATTTTTAATTTCCTATTTCACCATTAATTATTACCATAAAATCAATTATACCCACATATTTTCATATATTTCATACATATTTGACTTCCAAAATATTAGCTAAATAAATTTTATCTATATGACTTGATAGATAAACCTTATCAAAATATTACCTAGATAAATTTATCAAAATATTAGCTATATAAACTTTATCTCTATGATTGATACAAGATAAACTTTATCTCTACGACAATACATTCTTTTTTTCCATTCAATTGTATAAACTCTACTAGAATTCTAATACCACATATTAGTAATTTTTAGATGATACATATACATATATTTTTTTATTTTTCATATTTATTAGACTTCTAAAATATTTTGAATTCCTTCATATATATATATATATATATATATATATATAAACTTTATCTCTATGACAGTACATTCTTTATTTTTCATTCAATTGTACAAACTCTACTAGAATTCTAATACTACATATTGATAATTTTTAGGTAATACATATACATATATTTTTTCGTCTTTCCTACTTATTAGACTTCTAAAATATTTTGAATTCCTTCATATATATATATATATATATATATATATATGAAGGATTCTAATACCACACAGGATCAAATTTTTCAACAAAGTTATCAAACAAGTTTTTTCTTCCATTCACGTTAGAGTTAGAAGTTATTCTGTCATAGTCATTTATTTGAAGTCCTACAGTCTCATGCTCTTCTGTGACAAACTCAATGAAGTCGAAATTGGAGTTTTCAGTATAATTGAGGTTAATTTATCAATTATTCTATTTTAGTTTATTAATTATTTTATTCTAGTTTATTAAATTGGTGTGGCAGGTCGAGTATTCAACATAATTGAGGTTAGTTTATTAATTCTTATGTTTTAGTTTATTAATTCCTATGTTTATGTTAAAACTTTATATGGTAGTGTTCTTTTGTTTTATTACAACCTCTTGTGAATCTAATTTTTCATTGCTCATATAGCTAATATTTTGAAAACTTGTTCAAATCTCCTATAATATTGACCTAATTATTCTTAATTTTTGAATTGATGACAAATTCCAACATTTATTGAGACCAACAATCAATCTAATAATAAATAAATTAAATCCAACATTTTTTGAATATTTTTATATGTACCATGTTTTTTAGTATTTTTATCATTTATTGGCTGAAATTTATTAAATTTTGAGGTTAAAAGATTAAGTATCTTTTTTCTTAGTATTTTAATTATTCACTTACTTTTACAAAAAATAATTCAATTTTATTACTCATCAACTTTGTATTCCAAATAAATTTCTCTCTAACTAAGGTCCAGTTTGGTAATTGTTTTCATTTTTTATTATTGTCACCGTTTTCAAAACGAAGGACGATTTTCAATGAAACTGTAAACGTTTCCAAACGAACTCTAAATTATCCAAACAATTTTAAAATAGAACAATCCAACCCTTTAAAATCCACACAAAATATCAATGAAATAGATTGCACCAACAAATTCTAACATACATGAAAATATGGGATGATGCTACTACATTAATTATTGATTGCTTTAATTTCTTGCATGGTTATTCCTGTCATTGATTTATTTATTCCGTACACTTGAGATCGTTATAACTGTCATGGTTTTACTCTCAAAAAAGTAAATATGCTATTTTCCAAAAGAGACTTGCCATTTTTTATTGTTTTAAACCTTATTGGAATTTGAAAGGGATTTCCTAATGGCTTTTGCTCACCCCCCTACAACACCACTTACATATTTTGGCATATAAGAGGATGTTAATGTGGATGAGCTGATTGATTACAAGCCAATGGAGGATCAAGATGTTGATCCTACCTTAGAGGAATAGAGTTGATCCATTTTTGGTTTAGAGTTTGAGAGATTTTTTATGAAACAATATTTTAGCTAGGTTTTATTATTCTGCTGCTAAATATTTTTGATTTTGAATTGTAGTTTGGAGAAGTTTCTATGTTTTATTGACTTTAGTATTTATTCCTTGTCAAATGGATGAATGATTTATTACTTAATGGTTATTTTTAGTTTCTCTCATGGTTGGATGGTTTGTAAATACTAATACCTTCTAGGGTGGATTTTGAGGTGTTACACCATTATCAGGGGAAGAGCTAGAAAATTGTTTCAGGGTGGGCACTATAGATTTTAACAAGCAAATTTTTTTTCTTCTAATTGATAAAAATAGAATAATACATTTATATTTAATTATATCCTATTTAATTCTTAAAATTTCATTAAATTTAAAAGACTAAAATTGCTAAGCATAGTAGATACACAAGACAAAAAAAGGCTAATTACATCTTTTTACCAAACAAAGGCTAATCAAAACTATTTAAAATTGATTTCGATGAATTTTTATTCCTTGAAAATCTTGCATTAACTTTATTATTATTTATATCCACAATAACGTTATCACTTAGCTATTTATCATTCATTCGATTACATAATAAAATATATTCTCTATCATATCAGTAATAATTACTAAAATAAATGTTAAAATTATAAGTAAACTCATAGATATATCATAATTTTTTTTTGTCTTGATTAAAAAATAGAGTAGACA